ATATATTTCTTTCTTTCTTTCTTTCTATCCCCTTGACAAAATGTAACTCATGTTGAACTTGAGGTTATCGCACAGTGGGCACTATGAAGAGTATGTACCTTCTGGGATACCTACCGAACTACAAGATATCATATCCCAAAAGATAATATTCTTCATAATGAGCTCCCTGCTTTACTGCAATTTTAGACACAACCATTCCACATTAAATCAACAGAGGAGAGACATTTCCACAGCAACCCCCTCAGAACTACAACATTTATGGGCATTACATTTTGGGCACCAGACAACTGAAGTTCCAAATTAAAGAAAAACATTTTTTGGGCACAAACTGTCTTAGAGAAAGTAGCATAATATACTATCTGAGACATAAATTTAATTTTGTGCTAATTCCACATCTAATAAAATACCTTTCCAATGGCCTATTGCACCAGTATATGTGTATTCAGCACAGTTACATTTTAAAAGGTTTTGTCCTTGGATTTCTTAAATTCAGCATTTCAATTAAAAATATATACTGAGTGCATGTAACTTTCACTTAAAACTTCTGCAACTGCAATGGGATTGGGTTTTACTGTGAAAAGTCACTTCACTTGTAGCAATGACGCAACTTTAAGCAACGTGTCTCTCTTAAATTCTTTGTATTTATTAATTTAGGTTAAAGCAAGTTAACTATGTACATTTAGAGAGATACTGCAATTTATATAGTAAGATATCTTCTTGTAGAGACTTATATGAAAGCTAATAAACAAATGTCACTGTAGTCTCATAAATACTCTGAGAAGATCAGGTATCAGGATAAAGCACATTTTCTTCAGATAACTTACACAAAGGGTAAGGTTCTTTAATCTAGTAGAAGTTACAGATATATATGTTTACTTCTCTCTGCCCTTAATCTGGTCTCTTTACTAGTTGAAGTGTATGTTATGCATATCCTGTTACACGGTTAGGGCTAATTATATAACTACTGACTGAGAAAGCCACACATCTGGCATAGCTGCACATATGTATGATGCGAGAGTCCATGAAGATGAACAAAACTTATTCTTGTGCCATTTTATTCCTGACAGTTCTAATCCTACCTAACCAACAAAAATTATCATGCTTTCAATTCCATCATGTTTTAGCACACTAATCACATGGTCCACTATATAGTTAGTGAAGAAGAACGTGTTTTTGTGCTAAGTGTGCCTGTCTTATACACAAGTGCTCAGGTTTCCAGCTCTTGCAAGCAGGCTTGATCACAGATCTTGTTCTTCTTTGTATTCACTTCCTGCCTGTCACAAAAACACTGGATTGAGTTGAGATGTACAGCAAGTGGGGTGTCATTAGTTGGTCACTTGAGGGAGAATGTCCTGAAGGCATGCATTCAGCTGCCAATTGACTGGTAAATTATAAGGGAGAAAGCTGCCAGAGTAGTCCTGAAGTTAGATCTTGATAATTTCAAGGCATACAGTGGGCAGCTGGCTGGAGATTCAAGAAGAGCCTCGAATTAACATACAAAAATATGTGCGGTTAGAGCAGCAGCATCACCAAAAACGGTGCATTACTGAAACAGTCATTTTATTGCCCTGGTATTTGGAACATTGCAGTCCAAAAGGCATATTTAATGTTGACAAGGCTGGAATCTTCTGGGCAACCACTTTCAGCTAGAAGAGAAGCTTGCCATGGGGAGAGGATAACAGATCTTCTACATTCAAACTCACATCTGTGTGAGAAGTTTCCACCACTAGTGGTGGGGAAGCTTGTGAGAAACCAAGATGCTTCAAGAGTGTGAGGACCCTGCCCTGTAAGTACACCAATGACAAATGTATGGATGACATAAAAAAATGTGAAGTTTTCCCTGTGCTTAACGAATTAAGCACTATGCCATGCAGGTGTATGGGGGAGTGGATGTATAGATCCACATTTTCTTGACCTTGGCACTAGTTGGAGGTGAGTGGTCAGCTTCACGCCCCAACTGCTTCACCTCCGGTACCCATTGAATAGGAGGTTGGGTGGGCCCCAAAGCCGGTCTGGATGATTTAGAGAAGAGAAAATTCTTGATCCTACTGAGACTGGAACTCCAACCCCTCGGTCATCCAGCCCATAGCTTGTCGCTATATTGACTATGCTAATCTGGTTCCCTTGGATGACATAAGAACTTTTCAAAAACATCCTAGCATCACACTCTTCAGATAAAACCTTCCTACATATTATATCAAGGTGGTGTTTATCCCAGATAACTGCACCAGCGAACTTCCGCCACTTGACTTGGGTGTGACATGCTCCATGAACTGTTAAGTAAGGACACAGCTGCAGCTTACATGGAAGGGGGCCAGGAAATGAAGCTAAGTATCCTGCAAAACTAACTGCTTGCAATGCAGTTAGATCTGAAACAACAACAAACTGTGTCAAGAAAGTCAGGATTAATTGCAATGACAGTAACAAAATGGCAACAGATGTTAAATAGTAAATGAAGAGGACTTGTCAGTGGTCTATTTATTATCTGCGCTTTGAAGCATTTGTAAAGTATGATGATGGTGTCATCGCCGCTGGTATGCAACAAGATGCGGGAAAAATGTTCAAAGTAAAAACAAAAGAAGAGGGATGAGGGGAAGAAACAGCCAGTTCCTACTTTCAGAAAAGTTGCTGGGGCACTTAAAGTAGTAAGGAGATATTCAGTCCTTTCCACTGTTGACAGGTCCCGCAAGAGGGTGCTATAAATATTTGCCACAGCTTAAAGGCAGAAAATGTTGGTGGAAGACTTCAAAAATAACTTTTTTTTAAGGTGTATATGAGGTCATTAGATTTTCTTCAATTGACCTAATCCTTCCAGCCACACTATGGCCCTGGGGTTGATGCAGCATCTAACAGAAATGAGTACCAGGAATTAAATAATTTTCCTGGGGAGTAAACCGGCGCGTAAGGCTGACAACCTTACCACCATCTGTAAGCCGACTGTCTAGATAATGTGGGAGCCTCAACATCTCACAACCCTATGGGCCTTCACGGCCTGTTACATGGACAGCTTTATTTTTACTTTTTATGATCAATATATACTTATTCTGTGACATATGTTCATAAAGTATATAAAAACTGTTTGGTTTTCATTGTAATAATATTTTCTTTGTTATGGGTTGGTGACAACTAATCACGAAAGAATCAAATTTAAATTATCATAAGTTCATCTTATATTAAATGACTCTAGTTATTTATGTATAATTTTCTTTGGGTATATCTAATTAATACACAAAGTAGCTATAATTTTTTCATAACCCCCATTTAGTGAAATCTCCTACTCAGTGCAGCAAAACCATTGCCTAAGAGATTCATTACATGACAATTTCAATGCAGTTTAAGGAAACTTCTTTAACCATCAGAAAACTCCCATCTCTTGGGGAGACCTGTTAAAACTGCCACATTCAAACTTTTTGAAGCGGGTGAATCTCGAAGCTGTTCCTTTAACAGTTCTAAAATCTTAGCATCAGATCAAGAAACTGAATTTGAATTGACATTTTCAGGGATGTTAGGAATTCTTGTTACTGTTATTGTCATAATTTTCCTGCCTGTCTAATGCATCACACTTCAGTTCAGAATCTTCTTATAACACTTGCTGCACACTTATTATGATCACCATTTAACTCACAAAGTTTTGTCATCCAAGGAAGCATGCTTTCTTAAGTTGTTTCTGACATCATGAGGTCACTTTCATTAAAGAGATTAGGGCAAGTGGTACAAGATGCCATAATCATTAAAAACACACTTCACCAACAGAATTTATAACATAAATGAAATATCTCTTACAGTGAACCATGGAGAAACATTCAAATATATGAATAACTCATGTGCCTCAAAGAACACTAAGCTGTACAGCTTTTAGGTAGCGGGGCCCAGACCACATGAAACCTGGTGAGACCTGCAGACTGAATGACTCACAGCCAGCAGATAAGTATTTAATGATGCAAGTTAGGCATGTCTGGACCTGCCCAACATGTAGAGCTAATTGGTCTCAGAAGATGCATTACCTGTTGCAGCAATTTAAAATGCTTCCTCTATTCATGTCTTTTTATTAATCTTAATGACATGTAAGATTTGAGGTTTTCATGGCGGTAACTATTAAGAAAGCAGTCTTCTGGCATGTGGCACCATGTAGATATTGTGTTAACCGACGTTTCGGAGGAATGTATCGCCTCCATCTTCAGGCTAGAAGAAAAAAGAAGAAAATCTGCAAGCAAAGAACCAGTGTGAGCAGGTGAGAATAGACTTCCACAATATCTACAAGGCACCACATCCCAGAATACTGCTCTCTTAATGACATGTATCTGTAAAAAAGATATACATTTTATGCCAATATGTAATTTTTTTCCTTTTGGTGCTACAGCACCAATTTGGGCTTTGGTCTACCTCCATGAAACTCTCTGTTTCACTTCGGTTTACTAAAGCTTATACATTCAGTAGGGACTGCCTGTACACAACCACAGAAAAATGTACACACAAACCCCAAACATCCATGCCCTGAGTGGTATTCAAACCCACGATCCTGGCTTCCGAACAAGCGAAGACAGTATATGGATTATACCATGACAGGCCAACATGTAAATTACACTAAACTAAATTAATAAATGCAGAAAATATAGGAGAAATATGTTGTTTTAAGTTGCTTCATCAATACAAGCAAAATGACTCTTCATGGTACATGCTTCACAAAACCTAATACCGCTGTTGTCCAACTTAATATGTGCAGATGTTCTAAATAAAATTTACATGTGTATATCTTTTGTCAAAATACTGAAGTACTGCAGTTTTTTTAAGTATACAAGGTCAAAGGTTAAATCTGAGTACCTCGCAAAGATAACTGCACTAAATATATTTTGAAATGTAACATTCAAAAGGGCTGTGCCTCAATTAGGGTATACAAGTAATGCCACTTTCTCTAAAAACTTGAGCCCAAAAAGTGATTTTTGAGACCTCTAATCTCCAAATTTAGTGGCCATGAAGAAGAATTTCACAGGAATACTTACTACCTCTTCCATTGGGACTAGTTCTGAGGTGGTCGGGTGGTGACCCATGTTTACTTGATGTGGAATTACCTGACAGTGAGAATCCAACAGCACACAAAAAGCCTGTATAATTAAAGCAGAATTTCAATCTAACGGGTGTGTTTGACTATCATTTTTGTTGCATTTGTGGATAAGGTAAAGGTAAACGTGTCCCTGTGCATAACTAATTAAGTACTATGCCATGAAGGCATATGGGGAATATAGATCCACATTTCCTTGACCTCAGAAATAGAGGTGAGTGAACAGCTTCATGCCCTGGTCACTTTACCCTGAGGAAAGAGCCCCTGGTACCCATTATATATGAGGTTAGGTAAACCTCAGAGCCAGTCTGGATGACATGGAGAAGTGAAAATTCTTGCCCCACCGGGACTTGAGCTCCAACTTCTCCGTCCTCCAGCCCATAGCCAGTTGCTATACCCACTGAGCTAGGTTTGCGAATATTACAAATTAACTATGAAATAATCTGCGGTGGGCCACTTGCATATGTGAGTCATGAATAAAAGTTGGTTTTAAAAAGGGTTATGATGATGGTGTATAACAACACTCACGATTACTGGGTCTTGGGATTTTGTCTATTGCCTGGTATTCTAAAAACTAGAAAACATTTCAGAAACTAGATTACTTTCCATCCTCACATGAGGCACTGGATTGACTGAGGCTAGCTCTTTCTAGGGACCCAACGGAGTAGGTGTCTCCCCCTTCACCTGAGGATAGAAACAGATCCAGTTTCTGAAACGTTGTGTTCTATAGTTTTTAGAATACTGGGCAATGGATGATGTCCTGAAAACCCGGTAATTCCAAGTAAGTGAATATAGTCAAGTAAGTAATATTTCCCACAGCACTCCACAACCAACTCATGGACCTTTCATAACAAAACAATGAATAAGGATACCAGACTGAGTTACCCTTCACATACTGCACCAAGGAGTGAATGTTGAGGAGTGATGATGGCACTTGTGCAACGCACTGAAGCAACGGTCTACAGTGAACATTACAAGTGGCTTTGCTGTTAATTTCAATGACTGTGACTTCATTTATTTAGAGTGACGAATTTGGACATATACTCTACAGCCTTCTTTTTGCAAACATATTTTATTTATACTCTCACATATAATCACCTCCTTTTAATATCAAAATAACATGAACAAGAGCAGAAAACACACTGTGGCAAGAGTTCATCACACTTGAAGCACTGTGTACCTCTTCATGCAAGACACAGGAGAAGCTGTGGCGATCCACATATATATATACATAGGCGCACTTTTGTTGCATCTGAGGAAAATTCTGATACAGCGTAATGTACTATTATGTGAAGGAAATAATGACATTACTACTTGAGGGCAAACATGTTGCATGAATTTTGTGGGGTACCAGATGGTGAAAAATAGGCAATAACAATTGCTTGCTCAACTGTAGTGGTTCTAACAATTTCTAGATCTTAAAAGTCAACATCCTTGGTAAAAAAAAAAAAATTAATATGAAATATAAAAGGGCATATCAGTTTCCGACTTGGCCATCAGTGTCAGATTTGAGGTTCTCACAGCGTTGGTTATGAACAGCACTTGCTATCTTTTGGAATAATGAAAGACTACAACAAAATAATTCTTAAATATTATTTAAAATTACACACCCAAGATATGACTAGAGACACTTTAATGTAAAGTATGCTATACAATGAACAGAAAAATTCACCTCATTTTCAGTCTTCATTAATGGGCATCTTATTAACAGAGGATCATCCTCATCCTCTTTTATGCCATTCGGCTGATAATCACTCTGAGAGGATGAATACAATTCACCATCTGGATCAGGTTCAGTTTTCACAGACGCCATCCTATGCAGTTAGAATCGAAATAGTTGCAATGAAAATCTGAGTAGTTCCATTTACCACAATAGAGTTCATATATTTTTAGTTTTTTCTGTCCGATACTTCACGACGCAGCCAGTTACTAGAATAATCAACTGGTAGGTAGTAAAATAAATGAACGATGAACGGGAATGAATCTGGAAGGAAGCGCCCCTCATTCCATCCCTAGCCTCATAGAAATTCGAACCTAACATCTACAGAATACGAATCTTGAGAATTACCGATATGACATCCCGCTCAGTCACATCATATCCATTTTACCCATTGTCATGATTATTTCTTGCAACTGTCAGTCAACACATCGCAACAATTCCTATATACACTCGTTGGGAGAAGCATTCCAAACCTGCCAGCCATATTCATCGCCTCTTCGATCATTGCAACTCTCAAGATTCCAATCATGCCAATTGCCATTTCGAGCACGACTGGCAGTGCGACTAGCTTGACCCATAGTCCCTTGGATGATACGTAATACTTCACACAGATCCCTTTTCTTTTACGAATAACTAATTTGGTGGAATGCATGTAATATGGTTCCCAGCTAAAGTAAGACACTATGGAGTGTTTGGGGAGTCATATTTTATGCGATGTGACCAGACAACACGGCGTCACACACCAGAAGACTATTATTTCAAACATACTTTCTGAACCTAGTCCATTTGAGGATAAAACGGGGAAATCGATGAGCGCCTGAATAACTATCGATCAACCCCCGCCCCCGAGATCCAAATCCAGACTCAATCTTGGTCCTATATTGGACTCGGTGTGGCCAATTTTTTATAAGATCACATAGGGTAAGAACAATGGGCCTTATGCAGTCTTGAACCAGCAGAGGGTAACACTTCTGGGATCAACCTACATACACGAACTAATAATATAGTAGTACTGTGGCCTGTCTTAACAGTATGGACTACTGCTGGTGTAGGAACAGCATAACATGAAGAAAGCAGTCTTCTGGGATTTGTCACCGTGTACATGTGGTGTTAAGCGACGTTTCGGAGGAACGTATCGCCTCCATCTTCAGGGTAGAAGAAAAAATATATAAGAAATCTGCAAGCAAAGAGACCACATATACCACATATACAAGGTGCCAAATCCCAGAAGACTGCTTTCTTCATAGTCACCGCCGTGAAAGCCTCAAATCTTACAACAGCATAACAACTTGTATTGGAATAAAGTACAATACCAAAGAATGGTATAAACCACAAGTTCAGTACATGGACAGTCAGTAATTACCAGGGCCCGGATTTTGATGACCTGAAAATATTTAAAAAGTGACCTGTAAAATGACCCCAAAAATCCAGAAAAATTACCTAAAATATGACCCAAAAATGTAATATGCAGGACCCGGATTTTGATGACCTGAAAATATTTAAAAAATGACCTATAAAATGACCGAAAAAATACAGAAAAATGACCTAAAGGAGAAAAGAAAGAACACTTCGCTTTCATGTTATTCACATTTCAGAAAACACATGAAGAAAAATTCCCTAAAATGGCCAAAAATGACAAGAAATACCCTTAGAAGTCCAAAAATTTACCAAAAAATCATCCCAAAAATGAAAAAATGACCTTAAACCTAAAAATGTCAAAAACTGACAAAAAATTACCTATAAAATTTATATTTCTGTAACCAGCAGCTCATATCCGAGCATCGCATAGGATACAAGGAAAAAAAGATGACATGTCATCAAAATCCGGGCCCTGGTAATTACATATTTAAAAAGACCTCTCTGAGAGGTGACAGATTCACACTCAGAGGATCAAATGAAAATATGTAACTTTGATCTGTTCAATTTATTGCATACATCATCCCTTGCATTTCAAATTTTATTTTTTCTGAGGGCTGATATGTTGAACACATTTAACACAATGATTCATTTTTAACATCATCATCATCACTGGCATGACAGCCCTTTGTGAGCCCTGGTCTTCCTCAGGATTGCTCGCCATTTTTCTCCATTCGATGCTACATTCCTCCAGTTCTTTACACCCAAAATTCTTATGTCCTGAAACACACACATTCTTCCCATCTTAATCTTGGTCCTCCCACTCTCCTATTTCCTTCTGGTTTAGTATTAAGTATTTTCTTAATCGTTCTATTCTCTCTGGCACGTATTATGTGTCCAGCCGATTCAAGCCTTTTCACGTTTATAAATCCAATAATGTCTGATTCATTAAATAGTTTGTATAGCTCATGGTTATACCTCTTCCTCCATATTAAATTTTCTTCCACTGGTCCAAAGATATATCTCAAGATCCTCCTTTCAAATATGGTTAACAGTCTTTCATCTGATCTAGACAGGGCCAGGTCTCAGAGGCCCAAAATAGCACTGATCTTGTAAGTACTTTATACATCATAGTTTTGGTTTTCCTGGTTATTAATTGGGATTTCAGATGTTTCCTAAGGCCATGGAGACCTTTATTTGCCGCAAGTACACGCTTTTTTATTTCATCACTGATATCATTTTTACAGTTAACTTCTGATCCAAGGTAAGTGAAACTACATACAGCCTCAAATTTATGTGAGCCAATTTCAATATATGCAGGTCCATTAGCACAGTCTTTCTTGGTTACTGGCATGTACTTCGTTTTATTTTGGTTAATTTGTAGATTCATCTTTTTTGCTGCTCTTTCCATATTAAGAAAAGCTTCTTTCATAGATTTTTGTGTTCTACCAATTATATCAATATCATTTGCAAATGCCAAAATTTGAACTGACTTATAGAATATAGTTCCCCTTGGGTTGATGCCTGCATCTCTAACTACCTTCTCTAATGCTATATTGAACAAAAGGTAGGCTAGGGAATCCCCTTGTCAAACTCCATTTCTAGTTATTATAGGGCTGGACAACATATTCTGAATCTTAATTTGGCATTGGCGTCTTTTTCATAGTGGCTCTCACTAAGGCGATTAACTTCCGTGGAATGTGCATCTCTTCCATTGCCAGAAAAAGACTCTCTATCTATGGAGTCATAGGCTGATCGGAAGTCAATGAAAAGATGATGTGTTTCAATTTGGAATTCATTACACTTTTCAAGGACCTGGAAAATAGCGAAAATCTGATCGTTAGTTGATCTTCCTTGACGAAAGCCACATTGGTAATCCCCAATTATGCCTTCCACAAAGGGAGAGAATCTGTTAAATAGAATGTTGGGAAATATTTTATATGCTATGCACAACAGACTAGTTCCTCTATACTTCTTTTGGCTTATTTTGGACTTCACCCATCGTCCGGTATATAAAAGACAAAAAACCGCGACGTTTCGGAGACTGGATCTGTCT